AAGGGAGAACCTCAGGAAGAGGCTCAGCAGGTGGCCGAGACACAGAAAGCCGGCCAGCATGGCTGCGGCATGGGGGCGGTAGGCCAGGTGGCGGGAACTGGAGCCAGGTGGTGTGGGCCTTGGAGACCTGGCGAGGGTTTGGGTTTTCCTCCAGGTGTGACAGGAGCTGTCTCACAGGGATCTGGCCTGTGTTTGGAAGGCTCGCTGTGGCTGGGCGAAGAGCTGGAAGGGAAGGGGAGCACTGAGGGAAGGGGTGAACTACAGGAAACGAGCTCATGGTGGGGGAATGGGGGTGGAGGGCTGGGGAGGAGGAGGAGGAGGGCTTGGCCCTGGAGAGGCAGGGATTGGGGTGCAGGTAACAGAGAGTGTGGCTTTGGACCAGATCCGTCTCTTGCTCATTTTATGAACACTTATGAAAGCTACTGTCCCTTTACCCAGGAACAAGGAATATACAGTAGTATCCCCTTATCCAAGGGGTACGCTCCAGGGTCCCTGGTGGATGCCTAAAGTCACAGATAGTGTTACCGCTGTTGGCTGGTGACGAGTCCTTGCTTCCCCAATGTTGAAGAATAACACCAAAGAAGCACGCTGAGGCAAGGTCAGAGTAGAAATTAGAAGTTTATTAAAGGACAGCAGAAAAGACTTCTCCCGGAGGAAGAAGGGGACCCAAGAGGTGGAATCCGTGGAAGTACGGTTGTCTCCTCTTTTTATAGTTTTGGTGATGGAATGTAGGTGGGAAGGCCCGAGGGGTGAGACACAGGTGGGCCAAAGAAGTAATATGGGTAGGAAGGACTTCATTATCACTTCTTGGGGTGGGCTATCTCCAAATCTGTTGGGGGCTGTTTCCTGGGTTCCATTAACATTTCTTTGGGATGGACTTTGGCCTAGGGCCTTTCTGGGACTTCATTATTCCATGAGTTGTCCTGTGTTTCCCCGGAATCATTGCAGCATGGCCTTCATTTTTAGATTTCACTCTTAGACCCGATTTACCTAACTACACTGACTACCTAATTTTAAGTCTGGCTTCAACAGTACCGAGCCATGGATACGCTACGTATTTCCCGTACATACATAAGTACCTTAAAGTTTAATTTATAGATTAGGCACAGGAAGAGAAGAACAGTAACTACTAACAAAATAGAAATGTAATAGCTCTACTGAGATCAAAGTTACGCAGGTCTCTCTCACTATCTAGCCGTGCTGGGCTCACCGTCTTCTTAACCACAGCCAACTGTGGGTAAGAGAAGCCAGGGATATGGAAACCACGGACAAGGGGGCTACGGTGCTTGGATAGTTACTTGGTTGAGTGTGATTTCAGAGAAACTCCTCCCCCTTCCACAGACTCCCAAGTCCAGTGGGTCTCCAGCCCCTTCCTTCCCAGCAGCGCCCCCTGCAGGAGCTGGCAGGAAGGAGGCTGTGGAGGGAGGCAGCAGGCAGGGGCGGGGCAAGTGGAGGAGGGCTTGGCTCTGGAGAGAGCTACCTGGGAGATGGAGTCCAGTGGCCTGAGGCTGGATCAGGACTCTGAGGGCCTTCCCCCAGGGCCGGTGGGTCCCAGCCTCACTCTGAAGCACCGGAGGGCAGGATTGATATCCGAGGGTTGCTTAGTTCCGACCCCACCTGTTGAGAATCCCAGCCCTGTAGGCGGATCCTTCTCAGTGGGGGTCCACATCAATTATTGGCTGAGGGTGGAGCGAAAAAATCTTTACCCCTCTGCAAAGGCACACAGTACATAAGGAGAAACACAGGGGATCTGTGCTATTGAGGTTTCAGGGGGGGGTGGTTAGACAATAAAATGTCAAAGGCCCTTTCAAGGGGTGATAGGGAACAAAGGTTGAAAATGCTGATTGAGACCCCATGAGATTCTTTTCAGCTGAGAGCCTCGTATTCAATCAATAGAGTCATTCCGACCTTCATCACTTTGATATGTTAATTGTAAGCTTACAACAAAACATTTTATTCTATCTTGTTCCAGTTTGCGCTGGCTCGTGTGTGTGTGTGTGTGTGTGTG